CGTAATCAGTGCAACCATTCCCTGGGCATTGGACTGCCCATAGTGAGCCTCAAGTCGCTTCCATGCAACCGGCAAGTCCTCGTCGTTAAACGAAATGCTTAGCTACTCCAAATACCCTCGGGGTAAAGTTTGACTTAGCAAGCTACGGATGTAACTGTCCTGATCACTAAGGACCACCATTTGCCAATCATAGTTGCGCTTCTTTTCTGGGTCCTCGTCGTACTCCATTGGACGAGGTACCTCGCAGCTGGTTACCAGTAATTCCTCGTACTTAAACGCTGGTTTTTCCTGACCTTTTAGCATCGCTTCACGAGCTAGTGCCGTACTCTTTTGACGCAAGTGACCGATGATTAGGTCCTTCCATACACCGAACTGCCGCACGTGTTTTGGAAAGACGAGCCTGTTCAGTGTCTTGCTTTCACTGTTGCTAGTCATTCCGACTTGCTCTAGTGCCCTTTACTTGAAATATTAAATCAAATGTAAACTTATAGGTCTATTAATTCCTTAATTGACCCCAATTCCTATTGCTATTCTTACGGTTGTGCTCAGACAGAAGCAAAAGAGGAAGTGAGGAGCTAGTCCTCTCTTCCTACCCACCATGATTCCTCTCCTCATCGCACTTAGTGTGTGCCTCGATTATAGAGGGACTCCACTACCAATCACCGGTCAGAGTACCGTTGACTACATAGACACTTCAGTAGGCATAGTAGAGCCCATACAATTTATATTAACATGTCTCACCCGGTACTATCCAGCCCATACGGGGATTGCCTGTCGCATCCCCTTGGTGCTGGCTCCAGTGCCGGGCTCAACACTCCCACTAAGTGTCGTCCGTAGTCTTTAGGTCCTTGACCCCAATCAGTTCCCTCAGCTTAATGAACTGTCCTGTTGGGTAGAGCTTTAGTCAGAATGTCTGCTGCCATGTCGCTAGTCGAGCCGTACTGAATCTCTAGCCTCCCCCTCTTCTACAAGGTCTCTTGTAAACAAGTATCGAATTTCG